ATCTTTGTCTGCTCAGCTGCTCAGTTCTCACAGTCATGGAGGCACCAGCCTGATAATGGAGACGCCAAGAGTGCGTCGTGACCTTGAACACGTTTTACACTCAGTTGTTTTCTAGATCTTCACACTCACAGTGACAAAGTCACAGTGACATCAGCAGTACACAGGGGTTCGATCATTGCAGTTTGTGTAGGTTTCTACATGGATACTGAATGAATGTTGAAATCTCATATTCTTTAAATCACCTGAAGAGTGGACTTATATATTTAAATGATTTAAACTGAAGAATCTCAAGTAAAACCAGAGCAGTTGCACCTGTGTGTGTGTGTGTGAGATGAATAATGAACTGTCAGTTCAAGAGTTTTATTTAAAAACCTATACAAACTAAAAGCAGATGAAAATAGGTTTGATTTGCTGAAAGATGGAGGATCCATGACACACGGGTCAATGGTTTCAGTTTTAATCACCAGCTGCAAAGATTTGAACCACCTGTCTGCTGAAGACAAATGCAGCAACCCTGGCGAAAAGGTACTCATTCGCACTAATAAATCCTACAGATGTAGCGTGTGCTATTGCATAAGCAATAAATCTGACAAATATTGTGCTATTGGAAACTGAAGAAATTTTGAGCATGCATAAGCTGCTTTAAGAGGACAATAGAATCAATGGGGAGAGTCCTCAGAAGCAAAGAAGAGTTTTATGTTGTGAGAGAAAGGCTGACATCAGGAGTAGAGATCAGTTCACTGGCAGGAGAGGGAGGTGAGGCACAAACAGAGCCAGGTAGACAGGACTTTGGCTCTGAAACAAATGCTTCCTAAGAGAACATACAAGTGACTCTGAGCGTCATGTCATGTTTTTCTTACAAACAACAAGTAATTATTTCTCTAAATGATATATATATATATATATTATTGTCTTTTTTTATGCACCATCTTTCAATTGCAATTAAATAACCATAACAATTAGAGACTATTTATTTCTTTATAAGTGGGCAAAGAGAATGTGGGGGAAAAATGAAAATGGATTTTTAGATCACTTTTCACGTACTGTGTCAGATAAGTTTTTGAGCATCCCACTTTTATTTGTGGTAATTCACACTGGTTTTAATGTCTAGTTTATCTGTGTTGTTTAATTCCTCTCTAACAGCCACTAACTGGATCGGTCTTCGTAAGCTGGAGGAGCTGGATGTGTCTGATAACTGCCTGACCAGTCTGCCCACAGCTGTCATGCACTGTTTGAAGTCCCTGAGGCTCCTCAGTGTGAGCAGGAACAAGCTGAGCACCTTCCCTGACCCCTGGGCCTGCCCACTGGTAAAAAGCCATAATTATTCCTCTCTGGTTTTTCAACACTGACACACTGCAGATGTACATTCACCCACAGAGATCAGCTTTTTAGAAGTTATGCATAGTGACACTAATATATATATTTCTGTCTTGTCCTGTGCAGAAGCAATGCAAAGCTTCTTCCAATTTGATTGAGAATCTTCCAAACACCATCTCCATCTTTTGGAGGAATCATCTGGAAGAAGTAGACTTCTCTGACAACAGTCTGAAGGAACTTCCTTCGTATATCTTTGAACTGGAGGTAGGAGCACTGATGCAGATCTTTTATTAGATATATTCATCAAGAGGGAAAAATCTCTTAATTAAAAAACAAGCAAACAAACAGTTGACTACTTAAAGTAGTAGCAGTGATCTGAACAACCTTCAGGTGGCACTACTTCTCTGTGTTTGAATCTTTTAAATGCTGCAGTCTAAAACAAATAGAGCATAAATCTGTTAGATGCAAACATATCTGGCTCAGCCTGCAGATTTGGATTGTAGTGCATTAATATAACAGCAGACAAGCTGTAAACTGCTACGATCAGTTAATAAACATTATAACATAGTTATTACTGTATTATACTACTGTGGGTAGACTGA